ATATAAGCTGAATTATGTCCTTTCGTATGTTGAACTCTTAACTCTCTTAATGCTGTGACCTTAGTAGACTAGAGGTCTGGTTCATTAAGGTAAAATGGGGTAATATGCATGGACCCTACTCCAACATAACTGGGGTCTTTGTAAGAAGAGGAGATGAGGTCAGAGTTGTACACACAAAGACCACAAGACTCGGTAAGAATGTGGCTATCTGTGAGCTAAGGAGAGGGCCTCAGGAGAAACCACATCTGCCAACATCTAGATCTGGAACTTGTGGCTTTCAAAACTGTGAGAAAATAAATCTCTGTTGTTTAAATCACTTCTGTTGTTTAAGCACTTAGTTATGATGCCCTAAAAAAATATTATAAAGAGGTTAGAGGTGTAGCTCAGTGGTAGAGAGCTTGCCTAACATGTATGAGATCCCAGGTTCAATCCCCAGCATCAAAGAGAAAGAAGAAAGGGAGATAGGAGAGAAGAAAGGGAGGGAGGAAAGGAGGAAAAATTAATATGAGCACTGAGCCACAGATTCAAAAATAAAGGAGATTAAGCTAAAAATTAAGATTTTAATAAACTCTTTCCTGTTTCTTGTGATTCAGCTGTGTAACAGTTTGAAGAGCTGTGGAAAGTCCAGGCACTCTGAGCTCTGTAAGTGACTGTGTCAACTCAGAGACATTTTGGATCCTGCCCCAAAAGGAAGATCAGAGAATCCATTCAATACATCTTTGAGGATCCTTGACAAGATGTTTAGACACTTAGAAAAAGTGAGTTGAACCATTAGATGAAAATGACAGTGAAGCAGAAGCCTCAAATATATACTACTTATGGCAACTACTACTGTTGATATAAAAGAACCAAAGAGCTCAATACATATAATTTGGAAAATATACTTTCTCTGAAATTTGCAAAATAATGAGTTTTTTCTTGACTGACCATTAAACATAGAATTCTTAAAATACACCACTGAGACTAAGTATCCCATTGAGCCTTAAAATTCTGATGATAATATTATATAATATGTGCTAAAAGATGCCTACCAGGACCTGGGATGTAGCTCAGCAGCACAGTGCCTACTTGGCAAGCACAAGGCCCTGAGTTCGATTCCTGGTACCAAAAAATAAATAAATAAAAGATGTCTACAAGTTGTTCTCCTATCAAACCAGCTGGTTTTCTCAATGCTAAAAGCACACTGTGGTTACAATGACATAAAGCCTCGTGCATCAGATCTTACCAAGTTTCCACAGTTTTGTGATTGCAGCATTTTCCTTATAAGTCATACGTTTTCTATCATTTACTTGTGTGGCCTTTGACAACTTGCAGGTGTTTGCTTAGGCAGAAATGTAATTTTCCCAAGATAACAGAATAATATGCTGTTTTAAATTCTGGGATGCAAGAGCAAATCTGGAAACTCAAGTTGATTTCTGCCAACTTCTGGGACATTATGTGGCACCCCATAAACCATATTCTTAGCTGGGTAAGGCACAGCACTGCTGTAATCCAAGCACTCTGAAAGGCTGAGGTGGGAGGATTATAAGTTTGATTCCAGCTTGAGTAACTGAGAAATTTAGCAAGACCATCTCTCAAAAATAAACAAGGGTTGGGATGTATCTCAGTGTGAAGGCCCTGGATTAAAACCCTAGTATTGCACAAAAAACAAAACAAAGCAACAGCAACAAAAAAACGTCTGTATCCTCCTCACCACCGCTGCTGCTAAGGATTTTATCATTTAAGGGCTGCTGGGCACTTCCTCCAAAGCAAGGGAGGCACAGAAGGGCTGTGAGAGTCACCTTGGCTGGTGGCCCACATGTTCATACCTCCAGAAACAAGACTACTGGGAGCTGAAACTGAGAGCTGAGGCAAACCTGGGAATTAGTTCATGCCCTCTGAATGCCAACTGAGAACACCAGCACTTTGACTCTTTTCCTATGAATTAAATCATCCATGTCATCACAACAAACAAAAGGGTGTCTAGGACTGGCCAGATCTACCTTCACTCAACTTTCACAAAAATACAGATGATTTCCATCGTATCTATTCTGTGGGTGATTTTAAGGCATTATACACTCAGATTTTAGCCCAACCAATAGCTTCAGAGTAGCTCTGTTCCATAGGTCCATACACAGGCCACATGGGTCATTTTAAATTTTAGTTGCCACATTTAAAAAGTACAAAATGAGGATTGGCATGTAGTTCAGTGATGGAGTGCTTGGTTAGTGTATGCAGAACTCTGGGTTTCACCCCCAGTACTGCCAAAAAAGTAAGAAGTAACAGATAGAATTGATACTATGCTTTACTGGGTATACAGTAATCTCTTGGTATCCATGGGAGGTAGGTTCCAGTATCACACCCTAATATCTGAGGATGCTCAAGTAGCTTATGTAAAATGCTGTGGTATTTGCATGTAACCTATGCACATCCTCCTGAATATGTTCGGTTATCTCTATATTGCTTATGCTACCTACTACAATGTAAATGCCATGTAAATAGTTTTAATACTGAACTGTTTAGGGAATAATGAAAAGAAAAAAATCTGTGTATGTGCAGTACAGAAACAACTTTTTTAAAAAATACATATTTGGTCTACTATTAAGTCTATTGATATGGAACTCACTGATACATGGGCCTGCTGTCTACACAATGGGTTGCAGTGCATCCAAAATTTATCAGTTCAACATATTATCAAACAAAAAATTAGTGAAATATTTTATTTACTTCTTTTGTACCAAGTCTTCTAAATTGGAAATGTTTTCACATACCCTCTCAATTCACATGCTAAATTTTAATCAGAAATGCTTGGTTTGTAATTGTGTATCATAAAATCTAAAGTTGAAAAAGTAGATTCAGTCACATACTCAAGTTGTGTCCACCAATGGATTCATGAAATTTTAAATTTAAACAAATTTAATTATGATTAAAATTTCAGCTCCTCAGGTATACTAGATATTTTTCAAGTGCTTAACAACCATACGTAACTACTGACTACTGTACTGGACAGACCTTGAGCATCTACTATGTGCAATTGTCAAAACAAGCATCACAACAGATACTACAGGACAAGTTGGACATAAATATCTGTTTCTGGGCATGAGGGGCAGAGGATGGTATGAGACAAAACAGCAACAATCTAAGCAGGTTTTGATGCATGCTAAATACAGAGAAAGAAAAACACTCCGAGAAGAGGAGAGGAGAGAAGAGGAAAGTTTGGTAGTACAGCTTGCAAACAGTGGTTAAGGTAGGGCAGAATGGTGGGAAATAAGATCTTTAAAAGTATCTGTAGGCTCTACTGCTAATAGCATCAATTAGCAGACCAAAGAGGATTTTAAGTGCATTGACAATGCACTTAGAAACATGAAAAAGTTGCCAGTGAGGAGAATGGATTTGAACTGTGTTTTAGAAAGATTCACTTGGCATTGACGTGAATGATGGACAGAAAGGGAAAGAGTTTTGTGGCTAACAGATCACTTAGCCACTATCTAGTCTAAGCAAAATATAATGAAAAGACGTGGAGGAGATGCTAGGAAAGGAAATAAAATCAGAAATTTGATTAAATATGTACATGAGGACCTCAGTACGGCAATTTGGGGAAGAAGTCAAAGAAAGCTAAGAAGAATCAAAGAGTTCTGTAGCAATTAAAATAAGGAGTACTAAAGAAAAGATGGATGGAAAAAAGTTGTCTCTGGTGTATTTGCATAGAAATGTTTTAAAAGAAGACTGAAATATATGTGCATATGGGGTGGGGACTTTGGATAGACAGGAAAAGAAGGAAAAATATATTTATAGAGCTGACAAATTAGCAGAATGTGCAACTTTCTTAAAAATAATGTACAATCAGCTCTGTATCCACGGATTCAACTAACTGTGGATCAAGGATATTTTTAAAAATAGCTAAATCTATACTGCTCATGCACATAGTTTTTTCCTTGTTATTATTTCCTACGCAGTACATATAACAACTATTTACATCACATTTACAGTGTATTTGGTATTACAAGTAATGTAGAGAGTTAAGTATATGAGAGGTTATGTATAGGTTGTATGCAAATACTGCACCACTTTACATGAGGAACTTGAACACTTGAGGATTTTTGTGTCCACCGAAGGCCCTGGGGCCAATCCCTGTGGCCATTGAGAGATGACTGTGTGCTACTGCAACTGTAGAAGGTAGAAGCTGAGAAAATTTAGTTACATTATTCATTAGGAAGTGACACAGCTGTTAAAATTGTTGTTCTTGAAGTATTCTAAGGGATGTAAGAAACTGCCCAAAATACCTTCTTAAGTAAAATATTGAAGTTTGGTTGATAAAATTCCAATTTTGTTTAAAGAGGATATGCTCCTATGAGCTGAACCTGACAGAAAATGTGTGGGAGGACTCACACCAAGCTGTTATCTGGCAGGTCACCTCTGGGGAGTGAGACTGAAAGGGGCAAAGGCTTTCATGTTTTATATTTTGCTATTATTTGAACTTGCTAGAGGGCATATCATTTTTACTTTTAAAAAGGCAGAGAAAGAAAAGGATGCAGTATGTATTTAAGCATTCAGAATAATGACTCAAAGAATGTATATCAAAAAACTCTCTGGGTCATATTTATTTTCTTATTTACAGCCTTTTTATATTTTAAAGTAAATGTGTAATAGTCCCATAATCAGAAAAATATCATAAAAGGAAATAATCTATAGTTCCAAAGGTACAACCAATTTTAAATCTCTTTGTGAGGCTAAAATTACAAGGCGGGATGTGCTTTAAAAAGGTTGGATCCAATTTCTTTCGCTTGTGTGGAGTTCGTGCTTACTTCTGTTGGTGCTGAAGCTATTTCCACTTTTTTTTTATGATTTCCATTCAATGTAGCCAAAAAGTAAAATCGAGGCCAACCACAAGGCAAGCCTTCCTGAAGGAAGACAAAAAGCCTCTGTAACCTGTGGAATGAAAACTTCACCACTAGAACGTGACTCTTTTGTCATGAATGACTTCAGTTGCTGCTGGACAGAAATTCTGGAGGAGAACAAAGAACATGAGAGTGATTTCAGTGCTTGGTTGTCATTCCAGGGCAGGCAGGCTTGTAACCTTATATCATAATGATGGGGACAAAGAACAAGGTGTCCCATTCACTGTGAGGCTCCTGCAACTAGAGGGTCTCGGGTCCTTGCCGAGCCTTTCACTGGAGTGGAAAAGAAAAGAAACTTCCTAGGAGTGTGAAAGGGGGTAAGAGCAGGTAAATCACCAGCAGCCATCTAAATAGTGGCAAAAAACGGGTAGAAGAGATGAAAAGACGCCGTGTGATCATTCACCGATGGCACTATGTGCACTAAATCAGGGTCTTTTCTGTCTCATGCAGTTGTTTTTACTGAACAGTTAAGCACCCAAGGAAATACCAGTTGAGTCTTAAAGACAATTTATAGCCGGTTAGCCTCATTGCACCTGGCTGTTTTGACAGCAGGTTTTGTCAGTTTATAGTAGAGGATCTCCTCTATACTATAAGCTGTCACTAATGCAACTACACCTTGGGGGGAAAAAATGTACAGGCCAGAGGCAAATCTCCACCTTCCATGCACCCTTGCTCCTTTCAAACAAAGGGGGAAAGCAAAAGCCTCTGCTGGGGGCAAAACCTTGCCTTTTAGGGCACATGGCAGTGCCTGCTAAGAGGGTCAGCCCCAGCCCCAAAACCTTAGCGGGTTCACCTGCTTCTGGGCACACAATTAAGGACTCTTCCTTTTCCTTTCCCTCCTAACTGCTGCAGAGAACAGCCTTGTTCCAAGCCAGGAAATTTGGGGGCTAGCTCTCTGAGCTCCCAACTCTTCCCACCTTCCAGGCCACACCAAGAATGTCTGGGAGCCTCTTAACAGCCTGGCTTAGGAACATGACACAGAGGGCTTCAGAGAAGCACCCCCACCCCTCCCAAGTAAAACACCAAGGGTAAGGCTTGGCTGTTCATGACTAAACAGACTTGTTCTCCCTGGACTTTGGTACTCGGTGAGGGCTCTGGCTTGGAAGTCATCTTCCTAGAAACCACAGGACCTCATAATATGTACACTTTCAGAGCACTGCCTCACAAGTGAGGTGCTGCCCAGGTCTGGTTTTGTTTATCGTTATTGTTATTATTATTTCTTGCTCCCAGAAGGGTTGGGGCAAACAAATAACATTTAACAGGTGACATGCATTCCTGAACAGCAGGCAAAGCGTCCTTTTAGAAGAATGAGCTAATGGCAGTTAGCAGCAGACATCTTCCCCCGTGTGGTGGGAAAGGACAAAGATATGAGCAAAGGGATGAAAAGGTAAAGGAGACCAGCCCTCCCGTTCCTTCATTTCATGGGTCACAGACATTCACTGACATTCAGACACTCCCAAGGGGAAGCTCAGGTAACCAGTCACAAAACTAGAAAAAAGCAGCCTCAGGGGCTGCTGGCCTGAGCTCCTGGCAGAACTTCTCTTGGCCATGGAGGTCCACCCCAGCCACCAAGGCCCACTGTGGTGGGCAGGCCTGGTCTGCAGCTGCCCTGGGATACCACCCTTAGACTTTCCAGGATCCAGGCTCATGCCAGTATGAACATCTCGGTGGCTGAGGGGACTGGGCTCCTCAGGAGGCTCTGAGAGGAGCAGAACCTAGCTTAATCAGGAGAGAGGTGGCTCTGGGTCAGGTGATTCCCATGGGTGGGCGCAGGGCTGGCCAGGAAATGTTTCTACTCCAAGCTGCAGTAAGCAGAAAGGGAAGAAGAGAACAAAATCTTAAGGAGGAGGGACCACAGGACCCTAAGGCAGAGAAATAGCTCTAACTAGGCCATCTAAGAAGGGAAGCCAGCCTGAACCTCAGGGGAAAAAGGTGAGAGGCACCTGGGGAAAGAAAGGGCGGAAGCCACTGAACCATGGGTCAGCCAAAAGCTCAGCAAACCAGATCACCTGTTTGTTTGGATACATCCAAAGAGCAGAGCTGGAGGCCAGCTGCTCAAACACCAGGGCATTGAGCTGTTGCCTAGTGACTCCAGCCAAAATATACAGACTGCTTCACAAGGCCTCACTGAACACACATGTTCACCCATGTACCACAGTCACTGCAGACAGGGGCCAGAGGCTCACCCCATGATGGACAGGCTGAAAGAGGGTGGGGAACCTGGCATTTTCCTGACTTACAGATAGTCCAGCTCAGTTAGATCACTGCTTTTACATAGCGACACAGATTGAAAAATTCTTGTTGCAATTGACAGGCTAAATAGCAAGCTTGACTCTTTGCCACAGACTCTCCTAAAGCAGGCATCTTGAGTGTACCTTTGGTATTCCAGAGCTCTCAAGCCAGTCTTGGAAGATGTTTTCAACAGACAAGTCAGGCCTTTAGAAATAAAACAACAAAAAGCAAAGGATTAGAAAGTTGCAGAGCACTTGCTGCATAGAACGCTTCTCTCTCACTACTCAGGCACATAGCAGCATCAACCTTCCAGAGAAGAAGCAGTGCTCCCTGGGTTAAAGTGATGGCAGGACCCTGTCAGATGAATAGAGCTTCTTTTTATCAATAGCAATATCTGCACGCTGAGATCGAAAAATCCCAGGAACACTATAATAGGTGCTTTCAATGCTCTGAAAGGAACTTTTGATTGGGAAAGCCAATTTATGGAGAATAAGACATATTCACTTCAGCATGGCTGCTTCCTGGACAGTGGTGAAGCTAAGTGGCACCTGAATATTATAGTATTTAATGCAGGAATGTGAAATGTGAACTTTAATGTAATGATGGCCTGCAGTGTGCAAAAAGACGACGCATCACTATCAGACCAGAGAGGCTTGAATATAGGGAAAGAGTAAGGCTTCCACCGTTTGTGCTGAAGCAAGCCCACATCAATCTGCCTAATGAGAAGTACTGTACTGTGATTGGCATTTGGTCAGATGAAACTATTTTGCTTTCCTATTCTGACGAGTCGCCTGCTCCTTAAAATGACTAAGTATCCAGTATCTTTAGGGTTAACAGACCTTAGGTTGTATTTTCTTCCTTGGCTAATGCAGTTTAATACAAAATGATTCCCCTCCACCCCTTTTAGTTACTTCCGGCCCTCCTCAGTATCTCCACTTACAGAGAAGTCCTCCTGGACTCCTCCCAGGCTGAAACAAGACCTCCTCCGTGTACCTAACATCCACTGTGCTCCCTGTCCTCTTCGTCACAGCATCCATCACAGTTTGCAACAGTGAGTTGATTACTTCAATCTTATTGTCTCCTCATGAGATCTAATCCCACTATTTACAACAGTTTCTAGCACACAAGACCACACATTTTATATGTGAATGAATGAAATACATGTCACGGTTGTTGAAATAAAAAATTATTACTTTTTATGACAACATTTACCTTTCCTAGTAAGATATTTCCAAGTTGTTAAGCTGTGCATCTTTTAAAAATGGTCCCTTCCCTCTCTCCTTTTGGAACTGTGGAAGGAGCTATGGAGAGATAGTGTTATATGCAGTGTCCCTGCCCTGTAAGGCCAAGTGCCCCGCACCACCCCAATGGGCATTACAGGCACTGCTGTAGGAGGAAGGCAGGGAAATGTTGACCTGGGAGGGGCTGCAAAGGGAGGGGCTGACTGAATTTCTCTTCCTTCTCTTGTCACAGGTACACCTTTTCTTCCTTGGCTAGGACAAAAGCAACAGTTACACAAAGAGGCAACTATTGCTATTTGAAAACAAAAAATACATAAAGGGAAAGAAAGTTATGCAGAAAAGGGGGGGTCGGGATTCATATGAACAATCATATCCCTCTGTGAGACTAAAGGCAGGAGGAGGGGAGGCACAAGAGGACACAGGGGCGATGATGACCTCCCTAGGTCCTCCTGGTTCCCAGAATCGTTGAAATTCCCGGAAGTGACACCGTCACTGGGCCGTCCTACTACTATTCATCACTAGACAGCATCAATCAGCGCAAATGGCCAGTCTCCCTGTCAGCTGTGTGTGGAATTATAAGTCCATGTGTGTGCATGGATGTGTGTACACAGGTGTGTATGTATGTGGTGGAGCTGAGGACCCTTAATTTACTTGGGAATTTACAGGGCATTTACCTGGAAATGCCCCGGTTGGGCATGACTGATCTGCAGGAGGAGGAAAGTGGGGTTAACTGGCCACTTAGTGAGAAGCACAACTGAAGAAGACCAGAGAAGAGAATCAACCCTTGCCCAAAATCAGGGCAGACAAGGTTGGCACACACCAGAGTCCCTCTCAGCTGTGCCGATGGAGGTGCAAGGGGACAAGATTCCTCCACCCAAAGAACTGTCCTCCCCAGGGGCATGTGCAGGGGGAGATAAGGAGGGCAGTATGCAGTTGTTTCTAACAAGAATAGGCCTTCAAAATGGACTACTACTCGACAATAAAGAATGACAAATTTGAGACATTTGTAAGAAAATGAATGTGCCTGGAAAGTATAATATTGAATGAAATAAACCAGGCACACAAACTTAAATATCGTATGGTATCTTTCACTGGAGTGAGGAAAAGCACAGACAAAGAGAATAATGAAGGATGGATAGAAGGAGAAAAGGGGATGGATCTCTTGCAATAGGGAAGTGGTCCAAGGGAACAAGGGCAAAGGGTGAAGAAGAAGGGAAGGGGAAATAAGTAGAATAAAGATATGCCATGTACAGGAACCTAATAACTTCAATGGATATTATATATGCCATAACATGTGCTAGGGCTAATGATATCAACAAGAATGAAAGTCAGGATAGGAGAATTAGAGGAGAAGGTAGAGAGTGGGGGAGAGAAGGGGGAGAGAACAAAAAAAGAAACAAGCTGGATTATGTACATGTACCCACTCCTCAAAATAACTCTAAATTGCATACACTGCAAGCATGTACTAATAAAATTTTAAAAGTGGTAAAAAAAGAATGGGCCTTCAATTGAGCACCCTTACTTTCCATGTAAATTTAAAACTTAGTCTTATCAGTCAGCCTTACACATTTGACTAGAAAATAAAACATCAAATTTCCTTGGATGTAGGTAGGAATGTATCCTTCACTGTCTTCCTTTCTCACCAGAGAGAGACACACCTGTGACCAGAGCACTGAGGCAAAACTTCTGTCATTTATCTTTCTAGAGATACTCAGGAAAGCCTTAGCGAAAAGCTGACTTCTGATCTGAGATTTGCTGCATGTGGTCTCTTTAACACCTCCACAACTTAAGAGAAGATGCAGCACTCAGAAAAGACTTGCAAAGCACACTAGTGATGATCAAAGGGGAAGGCACACTGCATTCATGAGTAGGGTCAAGGGAACCGGGTTTAAATGTCCTGAAAAAAAGATGTCTGAGGAGTGACTTAATTGCGATTTTTGAGGGATTTTACAAAAGATGGTGAACAGCTGTTGTGCATCACCATGCAGTAGTGAATGAAGACATGGACATAAATCTCTTTGGGGAATTTTTTGCTTAAAGATACTTCTCCAAGTGGCATGGGGGAGGGGCTGTGGAGTGGAGTCCCAGAATGTTGCTGAGTGAGGTCCAAAGTCCTCATCAGAGAAGGTTGAAGAACAGGCACATATCTTTATCTTTATGCCAGACATCCAGCAAAGGCCTACAGTACCCAGGTTCCTGGAAAGCTGAGACTGAAAGACCCAGGGAGCGACTGGAGGATGTACGGCAGACACCAGTCAGAATGCAAGAGGTGTCTGCAGAGGTGAGGACTCCATGGGTGTAGGACACGAGGAAGAGGACAGTGAGGAGCACAAGGACAGACTTCTGAAAGGAGGCCACACTTGAACTGTGTTGTGGAGTTAGGCGGTGCCATCCTGCACCCTGGGGCAGGACCAGTAGAAGGAAGAGAAGGCACAAAAGGGGCAGAGTGAGCAGAGGCACGCATCTCTAGGGTGGCATGCAGACCAGTGAAGGAGAATGAAGATGGCTGCCCAGGAGGACCTTGGAGGCCTGGTCCTTCAGAGATGCTCTGAAGCATGGCAGCAAAGAACAGAGTCAGGGATAAATAACTGAAGCAGGAGAGGGTGGGTGCAGGGAAACCACATGGGAAGCAATGAGAAGAGGCTCATGGGACATGGAGGGCCAGGAAATGGTGTGTGTGCCGGGGGCCCCATTAATCTCTGCAGTGTGATTTTCCATAGAAAGTATGTGACTGTACATAATTTGCCTGTGCCAGTCTGTGGCCAACTTTAAGGTTTTGTTCCTTGGTAACTATTAAGGCAAATTCTGCTTTGCCACATTTAGTATTTGCATACATACAGATACTACTGTATTACGCAGTGGCACTAAAAACAAAACAAAACTCTTCATCCACTGCCAAGTAAAGGCATAGAAACAGTAGCTACTGTTTACCGAACACCTATGATGTACAAGACACAACAAACCAAATCCTATTTAAACTACAGTATCTGTACAAGACCAATTTTATTATCCTCATGTTAGAGTTGCATAAATAAACAGTCTGAGAGGTTGGGGAGCTTATCCAAAGCCACACAGACATTTCTTGAAGAGTTGGGATTCAAACCTACCCTGCCTATGAAGTCCCAGCTTTTCTTTCTGTGCTAAACTTAGGCCTCAGAATGAGCTAGTTTCTGTTACAATGCAGATAAATCTGCAGAAGCTAAGAGTCTGTGCTTCCTCCCAACAATGCAGACTTGCCTTTCTTACCAATAGCTCTCCTACTACAGCTGCCTCTTTGGCCAGCCCTTCTATTATATTTTTGGAGAGATGGGGAGACCCTTCAGAGGGCAGGAGAGCTCCTCCTTCAGCTGCATCTGGGAGCAAAACCCATTATCTCTTGAATAGAGAGAACATGTGTTTTCAGATCACTTTCCTTTGGAAAGGTTCAAGGCATCTTATAACCATTATCACTTCATTCCTCATAATATCCTTGTGAAGTGGGTGTCAATCGCTGTGTGGCATTTTAGCAGATGGAGAAATTGCAGCATAGGAGGATTCTAGCCAAAGTCAGTGCAGACATAGGGCTAAAGAAAAAAATCCCAGTTTCTAAACTTCAGTATCAATGTAGGCATCACACTGTGCTACGTCTGATGGGGCACTACTAATATAGAATAAGATGCTAAACTACCAGAGAAAGATGCAAGCATTAACTTTAGCTGCGAAAAGAAACCAACCAACAAACAAAAATTAGGGTACCGTGAGTGGCCTTGCCTCCCAAAGAAATGACAAGAAACCATATGAAAATGTTTAATTTTCAGGGAAGAAATGGACTGTATGTTTTAGAAGGATAATACTTACGTAGTTTTGCTGTTTTGATCATAATTACTGAGATGGCAGTACAGGTGGATATTTAAGTCTGGGCTTGGATATAGAGCAGTGGTTAAGCTAAAAGTTACTTTTTCACATTAAGATGCTCAGTGTCTA